ATCCAGCTTATTAACTCATTTAAAGTAATTGTGTTGGGAGATTTTAATTTGCCTTGTACCTCTTGGAAGCAATTTGATGACAACGTCATCCCAGTTTGTACTCGACACAACATGCCGAGTTTTTAGATTCAGTGTATGGACTGATTTGCAAATCATATCTTTAAGATGTTCTAAATTTTAATGTTCCTATCCGATTATCGAGAAAGTGGAAGAAGAAGAAACTCAAAATTTTAAACTTGCTTGGCAGGGGCCTCACCTTTTTGGTGGTGATTCAATGCTAATGATACTATTATTCGTTAGAATAACATAAAAAAACACTCAAATCTGGTAAATAATGCTTATTTACGGTTACACATCCCTCCTCATATTTAGGCACGCTACTGTTAATGGAGAGCTTTTCCACGGAGTGGCGCATAGATGGCGCTGTTGAAGCATTGATTGCGGAAATCATTTACAGTGAACTGTATAAAAAGTAATATGAAAAGCGAAGCGCGAAAAGAATTTTAAAACCAATTGATATATTCGTTCGAAGACTTCTTTGAGGCCAAAATTTTATTTCATAAAGTACACTAGCTGCGGAAAATACTCGTTGAATATATGAAAAAAGAAATATTCATACCAGTGGGTATACAACATGTTTGGTTTTATCCATCGATCGCACAAATAAAAAGATTCTTTGGTCTGCCAATCCTGGAGCATGCAACACACAACAGTCAATGTTCGAAGCATTCCGTATCTCTATGTAGATCACAGAATGGAAAAAAATTAACTCCGAACTTTGTTGATAGCGATTACAAGCGCCAGTCGAACTGGTTAGTGTAGATGCTTGTATTTGAAGAGAGTATCGGACGGCATTGTAATTATTCAAAGTAGAAGGAATGAAGGGTCCGGTCAGAGTTGTTGCTCTTACTACATTTGTTCTTCTGTCATTTACTCACTGCAAGTCGTGTGCCTTTGCAGAGCTTTGACTTACTAAATATAAAGCTATAATACTTTAGGACATCGATAATCAAATTTAATACGTGCAGCAGGACCCTCGCTAAGTCCGAAGAATTCAAACAGTCTGTCTCATCTGCTACCCAAGCGGTACCTACTGACTAATATGTATGTATGTGTGGGACGCGCTTTGAACACTGGACTGAATAGTATGGTTGGGATTGCAGAAAACTTAGTTCGTTGCAGCGATGATAGATCACTAACTCAGCCACATGTAAGCCTTAAAATTGATTTGTATATTTGGTAATACTCCATGAATACATCGGCCGATGAATCACTTTGAAGGTCGACACACAAGCTGGTGGTTAACTGCATGATTTCTGAATGTCGCCTCAACGTTGCGGCGCTCCAACCGCTCCGATGGTGTTGATCGAGGCATAACAGGCAGTGTTTGTCCAAAATATTCTGCCAGCAGTATTAATGCTTGATTGTCGTCAAGTAAACCTTGCAACGACCGATCCAGAACCTCAAGTGACTTTTTGTGTGCCCTTGCGCATTTAACCCAAACAATAAGCTGGCAGAGTCTAAATGCATTGCAAGTTTGGTGGCAGCTTCAGAGCGAAGTGTGCAGTCCTCTCACCGGTTAGTAATGTTCCAGCTGATCTTGACGATGCAAGAGCCAAAGCTATGCCAATTCATGATCGAATTGTTGCTCAGGTGGAAGAGTAGGCTTCGCGCTAATCTAAGTAAAAAGCCAACTGTGCACCGAATTTCAAGTAAATCTAACCATAAATAGGATTTTTTTCAATAGTCCAGTACACTTCCAGAAAATTACAATGCATATATATAACAATAATGACACAATTTCAAGTCTATCCGTCGGCAACTTTTTGAGATTACCCAATGTTTACTAGCCTAGACACCGCTTACGCGATTATGGCCAAGCTTATAACAGTACGTCATTAATTCCTTCTTTTCGCTGTTTGTTGCCAAGTAGAGCCAAGAGCCGCTATACCTGGTCTTTCCAACGGAGCTGAGGTCTAACTCTCCCTCTGCTCCACCGGCGGGTACTGCATCGAAAACTTTCAAATCGTAGCCGCTGTTTCTTGATTCGTTGAATTATCCCAATGCCGTCATTCCATCGGGTGGTGTTTTCGCCGTTACTAACTCGTAGAGGATCATAAATCTTACGCAAAACCTTTCTCTCGAAAACTTCTAACGCCGACTCATCAGATGTTGTTATCGTCCATGCCTCCGCGGGATATAGCAAGACGGGAACAATGAGCGACATCTAGATTTTGGTTTTCGTCCGCAGAGAGAGAATTTTACTTTTCAATTGCCTACTCAGTCCAAAGTAGCACCTGTTGGCAAGAGTGACTCTGCCTTGCTGCTGGTTCCTAGATAGACGAAGTTATCTACGACTTCAAAGTTATGCCTGTCAACAGTGAGGTTGGAGCCAAGTCGTGAACACGATGACTGTTTCGTGCGATGATAGGAGATATTTCGTATATTTCACTACCAGATCGCAGAAGCTCGTTTCTTTATCAGATTTGGACAAAGCAGAACTCACGGCGCGGTTGTTGAAATCGATGAAAGGGTGGTGGATGTCTATCCTCTTTCACGGTTTTTTTTCCAAGATTTGACGTAAGGGGAATATCTGCTCAATAGTTGACTTACCAGATCTAAGGCCACACTGATCAGATTGTAGACTGTGCTCCATAATATCTCATACAAAACGCTCCCAAGGATTTTATATGCGATATTAAGGAAGCTTGTTCCACCACAATAGGCGCATACTGTGAAGATCCCTTTTCTATAAATTGGACAGAGCGCACTCAAAGTCCAAGCGTCGGGCATGCTTTCGTCCAAGCATATTCCGCAAAGTAGCTCATGCATGCACTGATGCCAGCCCTTTACCGTTAGGTTTGAATAGTAGCAGCTTTGTTGCATTTTAAGCGGACGAACGCTATTCGAATGGGACGTAAACGATGACGATGGATCGGGGTTTCGAACATAAGATTTTTATAAATATATTTAACAGTTGAAAATGGCTGGATTCATAAAGAAGCTCGATGAATGAGTGTCACTTGAGTTAGCAAAACCTCATGGACTCAATTTCCATACACGATTCATTGTTGGATTGTGGAACGAATGGTGATGGGTGATAAAAAGCGAATAAACTGCAGTAACATCAAACAAAAGGGATCGTATTTGAGGCCAATGAGCCCACACAAAGGGTTACCAGACGAAAATTGAGGAGCAGAAAGGTTTTGTTTGATGGGAATGACAAGAAATTATCATCTATGACATGCATTACTCAAACTCTAAATGGGTACTTGAACTGTAAGCAATCAGAACATCTGAAGGAAGTAATCGCCCAGAAGCGCACAGCCTTAGCCAATAGGTGGAGAATTGTATTTCATCAAAACAACGTCAGGGCACATATTTCGATAGCGACACGGCTGAAGCTCCGAGAGCTTGGTTGGTAGGTTCTTATGCAGTCAACTTATAGTCAGGACTTCGCACCAAATAATTACTAACTGATTATGTCTATGGCGAATGATTTGGTTGGTGGCGAATCGGCCTCTAGAGAAGCCTGTGAAAATTGAGTGTAGCAATTGATTGCCAAAGGTGTTAAGGGTTTCGACGAGAGCCATATCATTAGTGAGATGACTTTTCAAATAGTTAAAAGTTATGCCTTAAAAACGGTGCATATTTGGCATAAATCGAATAATTCCAACTATAATAAATAATGCCTTCAGTTTAATGTAAAAATAATTGATGACTTTTTACTAGACCTATTTAAAAATGATTTTATTTTTTCATGCCAATTTGAGCACAATAAAACTGTTAAGCATATAAAATGTTTCCTTATAAAAAATGAGTTCTAAATAAAACAATTATTTTTTACATTTAAATTACAAAAAGGGACTCTTTATTTTTGATTTTTATTTTTAATTTTTATTATAATTTAGTTATGTATATTCAATTGAAATATATTCGTACATTTATTATTTATATTGCTTAGGTTAATATGTATGTCGCATGAATTCTTGTATATATGTATGCATGATTATGGTAGGGTATTTATCTGGGCTTTTAATTATGCACCCAGAAAAAAAAAGAACAACAGAAAGTTATAAACAATTTTAACTACATTAATGACTTATAATTTAATGAATTGCTTTAAATTTTTTGAATCAGATTTTTTTTTTAATTTAATTTAATTTAATTTTTTTTGTTTTTGTAATAAGATGAACCGTCAATTTTTCAAAACGTATATATATATATGAATATTTTATTTGATTTTATTTAATTTAATAATCGTTGTGGACTACATGACGTATGAGTAACGCTATATACTGCTTATACATACACGTACGCACAGTACTGGGCTACTTAGCGTTATGCTTATGTATGCTTATCTAGGTATGTATATTTTGCATTAATTTTTTATACGATATTTTTGATAAACATTTGATTTGCGCTTTCCAATTTTGATCAAGAATTTTTTTGATTATTTATGCACTTCATTTCATTCAGTACACGTATGTATGTATGTATATTTTTTGATTTTTTAGTTTTTAATTTCGATTTTTTTATAAATTTATGCAATGATTTGTGCTTCTTTTTCATTATCTTAGTTTATTTTTTGTTTTTATATTTTTTTTTTTTAATTTTTCATGCATTTCTTCGGCGCGCTTGCTTTGCACTTGCATCTGACTGTTGGGTGGGTTTCACTATTTTCTATTTTCTGTTTTAGTTTTTCGAGAAAAATGTAGTTATTGAAAATTTGGCAGGTTTTTGCTGTACAAATAACTTTTTTTTTTTTAAATGTTGGCTGGTTTGGATTTTTTTTATAATATTTTTTTTAATGAATAATTTTTATTTTTTTTTAATGTTGGCTGCTTTAGAAATTTTTTTTTTTATTTATTTAAGTAGTTCACATTCATAGTGTAGTGTATATGTTATATATGTATTTAAATGCGTCATAAAGGAAAACTTTTTTTTAATTTTGCTTATATTTTTTATTCTCAAAACAAAACTTAATTCATTATTCTGCTCTTCTTCAAAAATATGTATGTTTGAGTTTTGTTTTGTTTAAACTACATATATATATAATTAATTTATTTAACAACGTTCAGTGACGTAGACTTTGGCAGTGGCTGGAGCATTCGATCTTCGTACAGCAACCGAGACAATAATACCAATGGCGACCAACACGATGCCCAGCGAGTTGATGATGTAATGTTCGATTTCCGAGTTACGGGAGCTGGAGTAGAAGAAAAGACGAGAAAATTAGTTATTAATCTTATGTATATTAAAACCTAATATTACTGGCCGGTTGACTTCAAAATTTGTCAGGTTTATACGAGAAAAAATTTCAAGGAAGTGCACAAGAGCCTGACCAATGTGAAAAAATAGTATTAAAAATGTTTTGTTGTTGTTGTTTCCCAAAATAAAGTAAGTAAAGACTATCACCCTTGGCTGGATAAAAAAACTGGGTTTTTCCAGAATAACGACCCGACTATCTCGAGAACATTTCATTTTCACCAAAAACAGTGATTAAAGTAAAAATGAGTTTACCTGCAGCAAGACTTGAGCTGCTAGTGTGATAAGTTAGCCTAGACAAACGCCTCAAATGGATCCCTTAATGGGTAACATTTATCACCATATTTTCTACTCCCAATTACCCTCTCTCTCTCTCCTAAACTCCAAAGCTTGGAAATCAGTTAACAACCAACTGGTATAATATCATCATCAAAATACTAGTATTTAGTCTGCCTTCTCGCTTCGATTGTATTTTCGAATTATTTTTAAAAGTGGCTTCACGGATAACTCATTACTCACACATTTCCATATGTATCGAGGTACTGATATTGTTTGCTAGAGTATATATTGAACTGACAACTGAACTTATTTGACTCACTACTCCCATCAAGGAACATTGTCTACTTAGAAGAGTTGCTGCATAATGCTCTTTGATGTGGAGTAAGTCAGTTATGCCATTTTGTCGGCCGTATTGAGAGGCGAGTAATCGAGTTAACCTTAAGTAGAGGTGACAAGCTATTAGTGGGGAACACATCTACTGGTGTTTCAAATAAGATCCGAATATTTATTAAAAAGCATATCAGGAATTTCGCGCTCTCCACTGATTTATCTGGATTTGAACGGTAGTAGGATCACCCGACTATGACGAGGCTCGCACACCGTTTGCCCGCTTCAAAAGCAACAATAAAGTCAATAGGTAACATGTATGAGCTCCAATAGAACCGATATGCGGTCTGCCTTATCCATAAAAGGTGTGAGCTCTCGGTTTGTGCCTGTTTCTGTGGATTTAGCCTCATCAAAAATTGAAAATAAGTCCCTTTAGAGCGTATTGTGAAATTTGGTAAATCTGCCAATGAAGAAAAAGAAAGTCGCGTGCCAATAAAAATATCGTTCCACTCTCGACGTCAAATCCCAATGTTTTTATGGGATTAAAGAAGTCACGGAAACTCATTGCGTTTAAAGTGAGAACATTTTCTTAAAATAGATCTTTTTATTTAGTGGTCAGTGGCGCATAGAGAAGGCGAATTTCTTAGAAGAGTTGAGATCTTAAAGCGCTTCTTTTTGGGAATGGTCCGCTCTTCAGCGAAAAAAGTACACTGTTATTATAATAAAGGATTTCGGCGGTTTAAGTAAGCTCGCACATCCTTCTAGCGCAGGACCATGTGATAACAACCCGCAAGATGGGAACTTAAGAAATTATGGTTTCAGCACATTTTTCGGTGAAGATCATTTTATTTTTATGTATTATCATTCTGACTTCAGTAGCTATCAAAGAAGAAAGCGAAAATGGAAAGAAATCAACTCCTGATTGCTTGGTAATTAATTAGTCCGACGAAAGACTAAGCCACAGAGAGGTCAACTGTAAAACAACAAATTTCGTTTATTTTTTATTCCTAATAAAGGGTTAACGAAAAGGTAGGTAGGTGGCTATCAGTCTTGAATCATCATCATCAAGAAACAAGCGGCTTGAAACCCACGTAACCATTCAAAGTTTTTGATAGCCTAGTCTACCTTGGAATCAGTAGCAACACTGTACTGAGCAGAGTTCTCTCTCAATGAACAAAAACCAAACTGTAAAAGTTGCTCATTATGTCATACTGCCTTACGGTTTAGAATCGTGGACGATGGCGACATCTGAGTAGTCGGCGCGGAAAGTTTTACCCGTTGGTAACACCGAATAACGCAGACGATGGAACGGTGAGCTGTACGAGTTGTATAATGACATTGGCGTAGTTCAGCGAATTAAGAGATAGAGGCAACGTTGGAGCGGATATGTCGTCCGAATGGATGAAAGCTCTCCAGCTTTGAAAGTTTTTGGTGCAGTACCCGTCGGTGGCAGTTTCGAAGATGACATCCTCAATTCTGTTGGAGAGGGTCTGACCTCACTCAATATTTCCAATTAGCACGAAACGGCGAAGAAAAGAAACCACTGGCGTGCTGTTCTTGACTCGGCTATAATCGCGTAAGGGATAGAAAAAGAATCTAAGCAAGAAAAAGGAAAGGAATCTACTAGGGAAGGCACAAATCGGTTTCTGATTCGAAAAAATACAAAATTCAAAAAAAATAAAGAATATAAATTTTTCTAACTGCGGTCGACGCCAAGGTATGCAAGCATATTTCTGACATTAAACTTGAGAGCTCCATACGAAAATCCAGCGGGTGCTCGGGAAAACAAGCTGTATGTCCCTATATTTGTTGGAAAATGCATTGAGAGACATCCCAAAGATTTAACGTTTTGCACCACCGAAAATTGCATCAACGGCTCTATGCATACATTCACATATTTTAAACTAAAAAACTCACCTCAGAACAGGATTTCCCGCATCCTGACGCTCGTACTCCACCAGGCCGGTAATACAAGTGGCTATTGCCAACATGAAATTCACCAAACCGAAGCTGGCATGAATTGGAACCATAATGCTGCGACATTTGTAGGTGCGATTCTCACAGCAGAGCAACACCAAGAAGCTGCAAGAGACAATGGGGGGAAAAAATAATTACAAAATTAATGCATGAACAATGAGCGCAATAGAAAAATAAAAGAACTAATAATAAAGTAAAGAAAAATATTTAATTAAATAAAGCAGCTGCCTGATAATTATATGGACGCATTGCAGCAGCTGTAGGAGTGAGCAACGAATGATTTACCCATACAGCATTTCTGCAATCAGTTGCGCATGTGCGATCTATATATGTGTGAGTATGTGTATGTATATGTGAAAAAGTACCTGAAGAATCCAACAACGAACTGCAATACAAACATTCCCATGGTGACAAAACCCAACCACGAATGCATGCTGTAGAAATTCACTTTAGGCGGATCCGACAAATTATGCGAATCGAAGACGGACAGAAATCCCAAAGCCACACACGGTATGGCGCAGGCGTGAAAGAACATATGAATCAGCTTAACGTAAATGTGTTTCAAGCAACGACAAAGGCGGTACAGTAGAATCGCTGTAATTGCAAGAGAAGTGTTGAAATTCAAAGGAAAAAGAAAAAAAGGGTTTTTATAAATTTATTTCAAATTCTTCAACGTTCTTCTTCATTGTAACTTACAAAATCCCGACAGCGTTATGAAGCCCGCCACCATGAGTGTGGGATGCAAGTTGAATTGCAATTTTGGATCATCGGACCAAGCGAAACCATCGCGATAGAATAATATCCAAAAGAGTGTGAGCACCAACACGCCCACCAACAAAATGGTCGAGAGTATGACAATGAGCAAATACTCAAACCACGAACCACAATTCCAGTCATTCTCCGAATCCTCCTCATAGCGTCTGAAAGAAAGTGGAAAGTGGAAATTTAATATTACTTCATTTTCAATTATAGAAAAAACATAAATTTCATAAAACATTTCTCTAATATTGTTGTTAATCGTGTGAAAATACTCTGCTGTCAATTCAATACAACCGTCGGTAATTGGCCGCCGTCTCAGGTCGCCGCTTTATTTGGCGATTCAATTCTTTCATAAAATCCTCATTAACCGTCATCGTCATCGAATTTTTATCTTTTACTTTTTTCCGCTTCAACCTCATATAATGAATTTATTTCAAATGTCTGCAAAGCGAGAAAATGTCAAATAGTTTTTTGTGTTTTGTGTGCTTAAAGAATAGAAAAAAAATAAAACGAAAGCGTTTTCCTTGTCTGCTAACAAATTTAATTACAAATTTATTTATGCTTGATTTTAGATTTTTTAGTACTTTTGTCATTTAAAGCAGAGCGTAATTTCTTTATTTACATTTTTTTTTAAAAAACGTTCACTTGGTTAAAATGTGGTTTGATGAAGGTGAAACGATTTAGTATGGGTTGAGCTCTAGTAAAAAGTAATCCATTTTTTTTTTTTTTTTTTTTTTGCAATAGACGGCTTCAGTGCTTTGTATGTCGGTATTACTCTAGATGGCTTTGCAAATATGATATTTTGTACTAAAAACATAACAGAAGAAGAGGAGAAGTGTTGCACACTTAACTGGGTAGTGTTTCAGCGCCTGCTAAAGACCGACACCAGCAAAGAGATCCAAGAAAGCTCACGTTTGAGTCGTTTGAATTGTCATATTATTTTTCTTCAGTATTGTTTGGAATTTAATCATGGAAAGACTTACGTCTGCACACGCTGGAATCGTTGTATAGCTGCCCAAGGGCACTACTTCGAAGGGGACGGCAGAGTTGTAGCATAATTTTGAAATATACAATTTTTTATGGCATTAGTCTCATTACTTAATTGTCACACCTCGTACATAGTATGTGTATTTAATTATTTGAACTCTCCCTAATAAATTCAATTAATTGCATAATTTTCTTGCGCCTAAACAATTTAATCAATTCATTTAACTTTGCGGCATTTTTTCGCATTTATTTGCCATTTTCTTCTCAATTAACAATTTTCAAAGGCTTAAGACTGTCAAAATTTAAAAAAGAGCTTTTACAAATTAAAAGCCTTTAACAAAATGCTAATTTACTTGTGCTTTGTATAGTAAAAAATGTTCGTCTTTTGCTTTAAGTTTTCGAAAATGCGACGCCAGTTAGTTACCCGCTCAAGCGATTTTCGGCCAAGCTCCTCTTCCCATTTGTGGTTTTGCATTTTAATATCTTTTTAAACAAATGGTCTCTCCACAGTTTATACTAAGCTGTCGCGTTTAGAAAAATTGACTTCATTTTTATTTAAAAAAAATTCTTTAATTTTTGGTTTGGTGGTTGGAACAGGATTCGAACTTTGGTCTTTTAAAAGGCTGTACGCTATGCTAATCACTCGTCCTTCACAGCCGTTTCTTATGTACGTAATCTTAAAAAATCACTTTCCTCATTCTGCAGCCTATTAACGCAAATTACCGTTATTTAATGAGATAAACGAGAAAGGAGGAATTTAAGAAAAACAAACTGTCCGTTTGAGTTGATAGACATTAAGTCGTTGATGCGTACTTTACATTTTTAATTCAATTAGATAGAAAATCACAATTTTTGCGTTGAACTTCCACCTACAATACAATGGAACTCACTTATACGCTCATTTACACTAAAAAAAAAGTGAGTGAAATGTTGCTGCCTGAGCGGCTACCCAAGTGGAATTGGAATTGGAATTGGAAAACAAGTGTTAATCAGAACAAGTATTTGAAGAACAAGCACAGAGAAGTCTTTCTAAATTCTGACATAGCTTTACATAGTTGGACAAGAGTGGCGTGGATATCATTTTCAGATATTGCGGGTTGTGGTAGCTCTTTTCTAAATGCTTTCGTAAAGAGTTTTTCTTTTTAATATTTGTCGCGTGGCAATCGTCAAAGTGAGACTGGATTTGGTAAAGTGACATTGATAACATTGGAATTCGATACTGCACACATTACGTTGGATAGGCAGAGAACACTACGGTTTCTAATCTCGGGCATAATTTTTATCGGATATATCTTTTATCCTGGTCGCCGCGAAAGCCATTAGGAAGGTCTTGGCTCGAGTCCTGTTACGATCAATATATGAAATTTATAGAAACTTAATTTAAATAAAAAATTAAGTTAGTTTTTTCTAACAGCAATCGTTCCTGGGCAGGGAATTTCAACCCCTCCGAGTGTATTTCTGACAGTAAATAAAAGCTCCTCATAAAAAACCATCAACCCTTCTAAGGCGGCTTAGTATAAACTAGAGATTCCTCCATTTTGATGAAAAAAAAACATCAAGCAAAAAAAAAAACCACAAATTGTAGAAAGCGTTATAAAGTGTAATTAGTATGTATCCTTGATAAGAGCTGCCTGCTAATTAGGTCCTCCTCGCCGTATTCCTTTTTGGTATAGTTCAATCACTGTTTCGACCTCAATACAGCCATGGTTTGTAACGTCTTTTCTATAGTAGTATAGTCTATACTGTATAGATTGGTATGCCTTCGTTTCGTTTAGCGCTACAATTAAGCAGTTTGAGCCGTCGTCCCAGAGTGCTCATATATCCGACTCCCGTCCCAGAGTACTCATATATCCGACTCCCGTCCCAGGGTACTCATATACCCGACTCGTGAACTTAAACGGAGTAAAAGTCTAGTCAGAAAATCTTTCGGCTATCTGTTTCGCGTTTACAGTTTCCCGATGGCAAATATTTTGAACTTTTTTCGTTGTTCTTTACTTTACAAAGGTGGGTTCGATAAGCGATTGGTTCGGATCAAGAAACTAACCTTCAAGTACACATTTAGAACATCGAAGACATGTCTTCCGTCAAACAAATATGTTGAATTTAATTTCGAGCCGCTCATTAGGGATACAGCTATACTAAGATCTTGAAAATTTTTGTGCAATAGATTCCACTCACGGTTGAAGCAAATTTCATTCGCTTATCGATCGACAATTCTTCTCTACATTGCTCACAATCTATCGTTAGTCGAAACCTCGTTGCTATGATTTTAATAAAGACATCTCTTTGCTCTTCAAGCGTTTTGAGTTTTTTCCAACATGGTTGTTTGTCTCTAAGCGAGACAGCAGATGGCTGTAGTATATTTTCCCAATCACATCACTCTTAGATGCTAATAAAGACCGTTACAATGTATATTCCTACACCCCGCACTTGCAGCCATCATTCAACTATTGTGTCTCGACGTAGTCAACTGATAAATAGCTTGAGACTCAACTTTGTTCAAGCGAGATCTTCTAGTTGTGGAATCATTTTAATGACAAACATATTTCAATTTATATACATATATACGCGCATATGTATGAGTGAGTGTGTAGATGCCACAAGATATTCTTTCAGCTGTCAATTAGCAATTCTAATACATATTTCCCCACCCGGGATTGTCGTCTTGTCATCTAAAACGAGCGATGCAAAGTCAGAAAAGCCAACATAAAGCCTGAGTTGATGGACCTCCAGTTGACGGTAATAAAGTAATATTTTTTTTTTTTTTTTTGGATTAAAAAATTATGCTATTTATCAGCGGACATGTGTTCATTTATGTACATATGTAGGCAAATGTTTGTATGTACACATATGATTTTAAAAGTATATATGAATATGTGTGTATGTTTGCATCGCCCAGACATTGGGATAAGCAGTTGGGCATTTTATTATTTGATTTGTGGTCTCTGTCTGTTACAAAATGATTTAAGAAAATCTCAAATTTTGTTGTTGTAATTGTAATTGTTATGTAAATGAAATAGTCTTGTAATTATGTAGCGTTTGAATGATTTTAATGAATAATTATTCAATGGAGAGTTCACAACGTCTGAACGCTTTAAGTAAAAACGATTGGCGCATAGATTAAATAAGCTCAAGCTAAACTCATTTTTAGGAACGACAATTGAATTCTGGTTCAAAAGTTTAACAATTGGTAGGTTAAGTACTATCAAGGCTTAACCGTTACTACAGCATCTTGGGGATATATTCGTGGGTGGCGATTTCTACTCATGCGTCCACGGCACGCACCTTGGAAACGTAAGCAAGCCTTGTACAAGATGTAGTAAGTAACCCGTCTGGAACTTAGGGTTACGGCTAAAAGGGAGTAGGCTTCGGTGGAGCTGCTTCCACAAATTCAGTTCACTGTAGGGTTCACTCTAGTCCAAATGAAAGCATCTGTTTACCATAGATGCCGCTGCTAGGGGGTATAGGTCTTGAAGCAAACAGCTCTATATATATATATATAAGTATACAAAATTTAAACCTTATCACGGCGCCCGCCATACTCGATTGATGAGCATTACGTAAGGCAGGGTTCAAGCCTTTGCTCGAACAACAGGCAAGATTAATGAAAATTGGGTTATCTAAACAGTGCGGTTTCCGACGAGGATAAAGCTTTCAGTCTCCTTTCTCTTCAGACCCGATTCTGTTTCGATGAATTTAATGTCCTGGTCGGCCGATTACTCGAAAAGCTGATAAAATTCTACTTCTAATGTAGTAAGACCGCCATGCGAGCTGTCGGAAGATAGCGGAGGTATTAGGCAGCACTCACTTGGTTGTTTGAAATCATTGAAAAAATGCTGGCTATTAAAAGAATCTTGGATTATGTGAATGGAAGCAAGAAAAATTTGATTTAAAGAATTAGTGTGAGTGAAACGCTATGGAACGCGACAAATTGGAACCTTTTCTCAAGCGACTCATCTCAGGATATAAAAATATTTTGAACAGGAAAAGCCGGTGACTCTGTACAAAATAATTGAAAGCAAACAATATTCTGCTGCGTATATGGTGGGATAAGAAGCGAATCGTCTTCTATGAGGGGCTACAACTAGGCAAGGTGGAAAATTCTGAACTGTACTGTCATGCTTGCTGACAAAGAGAGAGAGAGAGAGAGAGAGAGAGAGAGAGAGAGAGAGAG